TTGGGGCCAAGGCCTATTGCGTTTGGCTTCGCAGGTTGCGCATCTTCCTCGTGTTTGGTGATGACGTAGAAGGGGAAGGCCGTCAAATTGCTGTAACTGCTCGTGTTGGTGCTGTAAACACGGAAGGCATCTGTTCCGCCAACACCCTGCGCCTGGGGCATCTCCTTGCCAGTCACATCGTTGTAGTCGACAGTCTGCTTCCATCTGGTGCGGTTGTCCCATATTAGCATCATTCCAGCAATTGGAGAATTCGGCTAGTAAAGCAGCTACACGCACTAGATGGAAGTGGTGTATTTACCCTTTTGCGCTCACTCTGTTGTAGCCATTCGCAGCCGCCTCGCCTGAGCCTTTGTTCCATATGTATGTGTGGTCGAAACGCAGGGCGATGCTGATTGCAAGCTGCTGAGGATCAGGATCTCCGATGCCAACCCCCACATTCGGGTTATAATCTGCGGATTCTCGACTAAACACCCACGGAATCATTCGGATGGGGAACGGGGTGACGTTTGTGCTGTTGCATTTCTGCGCAAGCACAGACGATGGGATGAGGGAGAGGGCGAGGAGGGCCGTGAAGCAGCCAACAGCTGCCGCATTCGTGGATGGCGTCCGGTGTTTCATCGTTGCAGGTGCACTGTGCGGCCTTATAGTGTATTTTGAACTCTCAATATCTCCACGGCAAGTTGAGGGATCTGCGGGCGGAAGCACGAAATTGCAGCCGCCTGTTGCAGAGATGGATATGCGATATCGAAGCCTGGACGGGAAACGCGATGCAAGCTGGCAATGCGCGTTGATTCTTAAAGCCGACTGCAACGAGGTGAGGGCCACCTAAATCCGATGTTCGATTGCTCGTCGTGAGGAATAGAGTAGGTACTTAGCGCGCACCCCTCTAGTAATATAGCGTTGTGCGCCTGCGTGACTTGCAGACTCAATTGACTTCGGGAACCCAAAAGCCAAGTTATTGCTTGAGACCACACGGACGGCTGGTCAATGGGGCTCAAGAAGGCAGAACTCAGAGAGATGTTGCGCGTGCGTGAATGAGAAAGCGGTGACAGATGGGCGTAGCTTGGGGGTTGTCGAACATGGCCAGCTCACCCTTTGGCGGCTGAGACTTTGCGACTTTGTATGAAATTCAGTGCCGACCAAACTTGACCATTTCAGGGCATCACCATGCCAACATAGGTTTAAACGTTGGCCAAAGTTCAACTCAGGATAAAATATACTTCATCAATTCTCGAGAATACTCTGAATTCAAACCCTGGTCAGTTGGCACTGAAATTCTCACAAAGTCTCAGCCGCCAAAGTGATTGTTGGATGAACATGTACGGCTAGTCTGCCGAGAAACCCAAGCCAAAATCGACTTCGCTCGTGAAGAAATTCAAAAATGGAAATTGAACCAGGGGCATCTACAAAATGTGGCGCAAACTCACCGCCTTTTGCGCTGCACTGCCCAAGTGCGGTGAAATGCATGGACACTGGACCCTAGTTAGGCATATCCAGCCAATAGCAACCCTTGCCGACAGGTATCCAAGAATGCTCAAAATGGGGGAATCCCGGAGCCAAGCAGTCGGCCCTGAACCGAATCATAAACTTTGAGCCACATTAGGCACTCGAGTACCATGGTTGATATGGGTTTCAACAATCATTTCGGGATGAAGTACAGAGTAGGTAAGTAGGTAGCACAAACTTTTGGGGTTCCCTGTACCAAATACGTACTTCACATTGAACACACTACCACGGGTTACGTACACATAGCTGCTATACTACAAACATGCCTCCCGTTAAAATCAGGACAAGAGGCCATTTGTGGCAGGTATATGCTTCCAAAAGGCGTGCGCCGATAAATTATCAAATTATCCTCCACGGCCAAGAATCGTTCTTGAGGGGATTGGATGAGCAAGATTGGTAGAGGTACCATAATCACTCAAACTAGGAACCCAGATATCTAGATATGTAAATCCTAATTGAGCTGATGTTGGATAGATAGACACCACCTCTATCATACGAGTAGATTAGCAAGACAGGCCTAGTTCTATACAGCCTAGCAGCTTGAAGGGGAAGATCGGAGTTGACTTGTGCTCCAAATCTACTCTGATGGACCCCACGTAGCCAGTGTATCTACTGGCCGGGAACTCTGACGAGTAGGACGGAGAATTAAATTTTCCGCTGTACTCGGATAGTATTGAGAGTTTGCATGTTAACTTCGCCCACTTCCCGATACCGATTCATTCTTGAATTGTAAAAATCTATTTTAACGCAAATGCATCGAGACCCAGGGTAAGTATGTCTTGTAAGTATGTCTCGTGTACCTAGTGTGGTGGGGCGGTGCCGCCCAAACTTGCAGGACTTAAAAAAAGAATAAGGTTAACCTGACTGCATGCGAGCCGAACAACCGCGTTGAACTAACACTAAACCGACCTCAGCAGTCAACCTTTTCATGTTGGCTGACGATGCAGGCGAGACAAATGTGGTGAAATTTAAGCAACGTGATTGGCTCGTAATTGATATTTTTTGACAGCCGGCCGATAAGCTTAAGTGACAGGTAAATATGAGGGAAGTCGCTCTTGGTACCTATTCTACCAACATCCAGAGCCTCATGCCAACACCTACCAACTCAAAGAGACATAGCTTCGACCTCTTTAGCCGTGTTCGACAAAGGAGACGACATGCTCTTCTTTCAGGCTGCTTGTAATTGAAGTCTTTCGATGTTGGTCCTTTACAAATACATTATACCTTGAGATTAGATTGGGGCGCTATTCTTCCAGGAATCCATAATTATTCAGTAACGCTTTTTCAACGGAACGACTGCACTCCACCCTACATACGCTCTAAGTACCAATATCTGAGCCGAACTCCTCCTTGTCCCGCGACCTGAGTACCCAAGCTATGGGTGTTCTTACTCTAGGTGCTTGCAGGATCTTTCCTGCTCTTTATATATGTAATGTTACATACATTATACACGACCCTTAGGCCGTCGCTCGCCGGCCCCCGTGCAGTGCACGGGAATATAAAAATTTGCATGTAATGCATGTATGTTTACGTACTCTCGGTAACGATACCGATACCATGAGACTGACCGGTACCGATACCTGCGCACTTTGAGACGACCTGTGCACCATTATCGCCTATCATGGCAGTTCGAAAACTCTAACTTGAGTTCGGTCCATATGCATTAGGTAAGTACCTAGGTAGTTACTCAGTATGAGGTCTGTGGTCTGTGACAGCTGGCGAGCAAAATTTTTACAATTGGCATACTGCACAGTAATTGATCCGAACACATAGGTATACACATTATATTACAGCTGGACAGGTTATTCCTACCTGGGCTAGTACCATATATAACCACTCGTCCGAGAATCACAGAATTGATCGATCGATTGGCCATGAGATACAGATCTAGATGTGTCGAGGGGTCTGGTCAGATCCTGTTGTATATGTTGTAATCTTACCCAACAGAGGCATGGATTCGCTATAATCAAACGTTTTCAGGTCTCAAAAAGCTGGTTTACTGCCAAAATGTCTTCCGTTATAAACGTCAACATCAAACTCCCAGAGACATGCTAATTCCAACATGGGTCTCTTTGTATAGCGTTGGGTATTAGTGTTTTTGATGTGGTAGGCTAGCGCCGTATGCTTGCAAAGCAATGCAATTGCGGTGGGTGAAGCTGCACCAATTAAAGGCTTCCAGTCTCAAATGTAAATTGTCATCCTTAGGTACTTTCTAGGTTTACCTTTTCTAGATTGAAACGCTCCTTATCAAACATAATTGTTACAAGACATATAACAAGCTCAGTACTTCAAAAATAATTCCCACCTCTCTCAACGGTTTCATTTCTAAATAAATCTTTGACGCTCTTGCATCCACAAATATCTCCAGTTGTAACCGAGAGTCCTAGTACGTTTCTAGAATCCATATTGCTATACACACCGATTTCATTTTATACATAACGATAGACACCTTTCTATATCAACGGCCCCCGTTACCGTATAAACTCGAATTTTACCACCTGGCGCTATCCCCAGAAGCGGGTTTGCACAGACGTCAGAACGCCGTGTCTTGAGCTGAGTGAGCCAATGAACGGTCTCCATTGCTGCATAGCGCGAGGTGGTAAAATTCGAGTTTATACGGTATATGCATACTGGTACATATAGTGGGGCTCTCGTGAATATCAGCATGATTTCATTAGCATGGTTGATCGTTACATATAAGCATACCCACTTGCGGCCAGGGAACTCCTTCTACCCTGTAAAATTCCTTCGCGATACATCAGTATATACGGGAAAAATACACTCTCTTTAAGCATTCGAAAACGCTTGATTTTCAAATCTAGTCGGTATGTGTTCTCGTATAATATGAAGTGCGATCACCCAATATGTTTATGTGTCTGATGTGATTGTTCCTGCAAAATCTTTTATATACCTATATATCGGACTGCTAATTATGTACAGAAGATGTAGAAGACTCTCGTTCAATATCATGGGACTATGAAAAATAAGCATTTTCGATCGATAGCAGCATAAATTTGAATCAGGCATGATTGATATTTTCAAGCCCCGAAAACAGCATGCATTCATGCTACTTTCTACTCTCATTGAGATATTGAAGTATAATTTCGTTATAGGTATGAGAACTTTACCCCTGAGGTGCACTAGGTGATGTCATACACTTGGAATGATTGTACATGTACTATCAAATGCATTTGCCCAGTGATTCTGAACTACAAGGCCAATTCCTCAGTATGAAGAACATCGATTAGACGGCTTATCGAGTACTTGCATGTGTTGTCCTTCTCGCAGTTCTATCGACAATTTGTATTTCTTGAAAAGCATAAATGAGAGCACAAGAAGTAGTAAGGAAGTCTTGATACAAAGTTTGTGTAATAATTGATCTCTCTGAAATGCACAATAGTGTTAAAATAATGTAGGGGGTTCGAGAATGAACTCTGGGTACATCTGGATCTTTCGATAAGTAAAAGATTCAAACGCAAAAGTGCAAAAGAAAACGACCTTGCTAGGGATCGAACCTAGAATCTCTTGATTTCAGAGGGTGTTGTGGCATCGTAGTCAAGCGCCTTGCCATTGGGCCACAAGGTCATTCGTGGGAGAATTGTCGCAATGAAGTTTATGAAGCTTTGTCCACGTCTCATCCCCAATGTATCGTACAATTGTGTGACACTTGAACTCGGGATTCCTTGAGCACAAAGTAAGTCGATATGATGAATATATTCATGCATGTTTAACGTGAATTATACAGGCCTGTATTGATTATTGCAGGTAGTATGCAGGTAGAGTTGATTCCAACGTGTATACCAGCATAAAGACTTAATCACTATCTTAGAATTTGTCGCCCATGCGAGCCGAAGCTTGCGAGAAACGGTAGCTTCGTACTTGAATGACTTTTCTACTCTACATACCTAACTTTGAGTAGATAGGTAACCTGCGCATGCTCATCTCTTTGTAAACAGATAATAATAGACATACATAAATAAAAACTATATAGTAACTTTATAAAAGGTGGTCAGGCTGAGCATTGAACTTAGTTTCACAATCTTATGAAGTACAAATGTGACATTTATAGACCTAACTTCCTGCCATTAGGTGGCATCGAAGGAGCTGGAGTTGACAGCTAGAATGAGAAATGTAAAAGAGGCCCTTAAGCTCGCGAATATATATACATTAACCTCCACGCTATCCGCGGTCGACCGGTCGTAGAACGGCGCCTATATATATCACAACAATATACCTAGATAAGTACGAACTTGTACCCACCCTCCTAATATGTGAGGATGTGTATACAAATATTCATACATTCTCGCCTAAACTACAGTTTAGCGTCACTGGCACTATGGCCACTCAAAGGCCGAATTCGGCCCTGGAGATCATCTATAGTATAATGCAATATAAATTATAGGAATATATATGTCTTAATAGCGGCTTTAAATACCGGTATGCCGCGTTATGTGTAAATGCAGAATCTATTTCCCGGAACATTCTCGACACCTAGTAATATTCTGCACAATCTCTTGTTACAAGCTTGCTATAACGTGGACATTCAACCTCCAGGACAATTTCTTCTAGCGTCATATCGGAACATTCTGACATTGATCTCCGAATAAAATAACTTTGGGTTTAATCTAGTGTATGAATCAGAAATTCACATATCATATCCGCTTGCCTGAAACAACGCGCTACCTATCATAGAGGGCCAAAAAGACTAGCCTGGTGTGCGATAAATAGACCACTATAAGGAAGTAGCTTTATAAACTACCCGGACAGTGCCCGTGATGCCTGTACAAACCAATTCAAGAATATATTCCGAGTTCAGTGTAGGCTACATTGATTTGGGATGTAAGTATTCTGAGTATGTATGTACTAAATGCATGAAATACGCTATCATATCCAATTCAGACAGGCCCGGAACTTTTGGATCTTAATTCGTGTGCTCGCTGGGATTGAAATAATGACCCCGGGAAAAGCTGGCTTGGGAACCACTCTCTGCACTTTAAACATCTCTGGTCTCGGATCATGGGATCGCTAGCGCATCTTCTATATAGTATACCAGGTGACCATACGGGTAACTACATGGATTTACCCATGTTTAATCTGCAAAGCTCTATCGAGATAGGGAAAAAAAAAAGAACCTTGTGCCCATCGACTATAATCGCCGAGGGAGACTTCTACAGCTGACCGTTTGCTAGCTGTGAGGCCCGGGGCAGGCGACGTCCAGATCGCGGATCCAAACCCAATCCATCAAAAAGGTCCTTCTTTCAAGTTTCTAAGAATTTTCAACAAGGCCGATTTCGATGATGTTCGTTGGTGGTTGCAATGGTGTGGAGTGCAATATAATGTTTCCCCACGATGTGAGCCGTAAATAAAGGCTAATTGTGGATAACGCGGATGTGTGATCTTCTATAGGTGCGGTATTAACAGTGAATTAAGGGTCGCTGTGGAGATATATGGGCAGGGGGAGACCATCCCGGGTCGAGGCAAAGTTTGGGGAATTCCAATAGGGTACTTAAGTGTTTGGTATCGTGATGTCATTTATTTTATACTATCTTCTAATACATACTTACCTCACGTGTTTCTGATCAGAATAGGGTGATACGTATACGGCTGGTGCAATATCCAGACTCACCTAGACTATGATTCTGAATCCACATATTTCTAAAGGCTTGTTTAGTTCTTCACTCAAGCTTAGGTAGAATGTATCGAGTATCGGAGGGAAAGTGGCATCACTGGCGCTTTCAGACGTGAGACATAGATTATCAGTGTAATTATTTACCACATTGCATTATGTTCTGTATTGGAATGAATACCCTGGCTTGATCGACCGTTGTACTGCGGACGATCATAGCTCATTCTGCTGGCTTCGAGGCACCGTATTCTTATCACCAATGAGAATGTGAACTTGGCTAGCAGAATTGCCAAACTTCATGCTTGAGGAATTGGCTCCAGGTATCGGCAGTCCCGGGTTTATATTAAAGCGCCAACATGCATTGCCTGTGTTACATTCGACGTCTTCTCAGGCTATAGCACAGAATTGGCAACACTGACAGTCAACCGGCTAGACTTAGGTAATCGAGGTAGGCCGGCCATTTGCAGAACCAAAGACTCATTCGGATGGGCCGAATTCCCTAGTGGTATCAATGCTGGGAAGAGTTGATATGTATAAGAGAGGGCCATATAGAGTCATTTTGACAAGTGAGTTGGCTTTTAATAGCTTCTTATAATTATTTGCATTATGTATCTGTGAAGTCCTCACTAAAAGCTCTCAAGGCACCGCATACGGGCTCGATTAACTCTATAGATATAGAGTCCTGAGTCGCTGTTTATAATTATCAGCACTTATATAGGTATCTTTGTGTGAAGTGATTCTTCTCGTGTTGAATCAAATTCAAATTCATAATATTTCAAGGCTTTGTCTAGATCCATATTTCTATTCTTCAAATCATAAAAAGTGCGGTATGTACTGTTAGTGTTTAGGAAATCTCCCGCTCCAATTCGTTCAAAGATCGAGTATGCATGATTCTAGAGCACAGAAGAGCACTCTCCCGTCACATGGCAAGCTCTTCCGGAGAGGAGGGTGGTTGTGATCTGGTTAAACCTGGCGTGTTTTACATAAGCTGCTTCTAATGGGTGGTTCCTAGTCCGACTATTTACCGGGTATTTCAAAATATTATTCTCCGCAAGGGTGTATGCACAATTCTTTAACCGATTTTTCTAGAGTTTCGACGAATGAAAAAACAGTTACACATGCATATCAGCCTTCCTGAGAGCGCTGCCCGTAAGTTTTTACCCCCAAACCCCGCACGTGTAATATCTATATGTGGTTGAAATTGAATACGGTTATAGGTATATGAAAATTGGTACTACATTGATTGAGTCAACGTACATGATGTACGTCTAGGTTCAGTAAAAAAAGGCGACGCATTGGAAAAAAATGGGTGTATTCGGTACCAGTCTGGGCGTTTTCGGATGTGAAGTAGCTCGATTTGGGATTTACCTTGAACGAGTGAATTCGGAGTATTCTTCCACTTCATATAAAGGCAAGGGGTTTTCAATCTATGAAAACTCTAGCAGTACACTATAGACACAAAATTGGTTTAAAGGTAGCATTACTGAGGGACAATTTAAACCATATACCACACTTTATATATCCGGATATCCAACCTAAAGCCATATGATAAGTGGCATGTATAATGATTCTTCTTAAGAGATATATAGAGATCTGCATTAGGCACTTGTGCTCGATATTGCCTCAGAATGATATAGTATAGGTTCAAGAGGAAAGAATCGTACCGATGGTTTAAGTTAGGACTACTTGGGAGGTAATTATTTAAAAGGACGCGATATCCCATCACTAAGCGCTGGCCATCGACTGAAATTTTAACCTTCTTCCGCCTCGACTTCGGAAGAGAGAAGCTATAGAGATACCATTGTCGTTCCCTTTCGAGGTCCCGGTCATACACGATGGGAGTCTTCCCGAGGATTACCATTGTTGCTGCTATTGTCTACACTGCAATAAGCACTACATACGCCATCCCAGCGGCAAGTCCTTCAGCACTAGACTGGCCTTCCAGCCTTGGAATATCCAAGTCACTGCTCTCCCCACACGACATTCTACGACTGTCCAAGCTCAAAAGTCACACTGCCGGGTTTCCAGAATTCAAGCCAGAAAAGATTGGGGCCGAGGAAGTGAATGTATCAAAGCGGGAGAAAAAGGATGCACGACTCTCACGAAGACAAGCATTTCGAACATGCAAAGTGATTCCATCTGATGAATTATGGCCATCACAAGAGAAGTTTGATGAGTTGGAGCGTGCAACAGAGGGACCAATGATAAAGACAGTACCTATTGCTGCTCCCTGCTTCTCCGGCGCAGTTTACGACTCGGAAAAATGTGCTGAGGTCACAGAGAAATGGTCGGATTCATTCCTTCAGTAAGGATTCCACATCACAGGTCTGAGAAGAAGATCATTTTTGTTGAATTAATGTGATATAGTGACAAAGATCCAAGTTCGATAATGTCACCTTTTCACCAAGGCATCACTTGCCTTCCGCTGGCCAACCCAATGCCTGGTCCTTGGAGCGTGCTTGGATATCCGAATTATGTTGTACAGGCCATGTCAGTTCAAGACGTGCAACAAGCCGTAAACTTTGCTCGGATGAACAACATCAGGCTAGTGGTCAAGAATACAGGTATGTCGAAGCAGATATCAAGCTGAAGGGATGTATGCGTGTGGATATGTCAATAAAAGCTAACTGAGATCGCACGTCAACTTTTAGGCCATGACTTTTCAGGAAAATCAGGAGGAGCAAATGCAATAAGTGTCTGGACGCATCATTTAAAAAACATCACCTATATTCCAGAGATAAAAACTACTGAATACACGGGAAAGGCATTCAAAGTCGGCTCTGGTGTGCAAGGGTATGAAATTTATCAGGCTGCGGCAAAGGAGGGTCTAATGGTAGTTGGCGGAGAGGGAATGGTAAGTAATGATTGAAGTTATAATCCCAATTATTATCGCAGAAGTGTTAAATACTGAACTTATTGTTTGCAGACGGTGGGATTTGCTGGCGGTTATCTCCAGGGA